ATTCCCGTCTATAGCACTGGAGTGCGGTCGCAACACTAGCGCGTATCGCGAAGTATAAGCACTGCCGGATCCATTCTGCATTTCCCGCAATCCGCGATTTCGTCCGACTAATCAATAATCGATGTGTGCATAGTCGGTGACACTTGTGGCTACCAGTGAAACCGATTTTGAAATCAAGCTAAGCTGAGTGACAAGTAAACGCGCTCTAGCGCCAATCGAAGAATCGCACAGTGCTAATCCCAAAGCTTGTCCTTAGCGCGGATTACGTGAACTCGCAGGGAAGTCACGAATTGGGAACGCTGCCGCGAGAACCGCGCTGCAGCTGCCCGCCTTCATTCAGAACTTTTAAGCTGATTAGACACAGCACCTGAGAGCAGTTTACTCTTTCAGAGTACCCTAAAATATAGTGCAAACTCACTTCGGACAGTAGTTTGAGCTTATCAAATGAGTAATTCACTTTATTACTGGTTCAAAAGTTGATTGATGATGTCGTGTGTGGCTGTGAATATTGCATGCAGGATATGGAATTGCTGGATTATCGACTACCGGGCTCCATTTTGACGTTCATTGGCTCTGCCGTGCAGGCGTTGATAATCATAACGGTGCCTGTCTACGCAACACCGGCGATCGTCTTTCTTCTAGTGCCAGTCTTCGTCTTCTATTTTTATATTCTGGTTAGCATGCGCTTTTCTTCTATGATATCTAAATTCTGATTCCATTCCCTACAAAAAAAATCTTCGAAAGCAGCCGTCATCATCCCGATCATCTTTCAAGTTTCGGGGCTTCCTATCTGCCTTAGAGACACACTATGCCTTTGCTGGTCAGGGGGAGTTTGCTGGTAGGACCAAATATTAACTTTTAGGTGCTAGTACTCATTGATGAAGGAATGATGAGAAGAAGTTGTCGAAAACGCCCCATATGAAACAGAGCTGCCCCATGCGTAGACTAGAGATCAGGTAGGAGCGGGGGAGGTTGAGTGCCGCACAAGCAACGCCGCGCAATAGCCACTCATCTATGGCCTTAAGGCCTTGTCTGATACGTGTTTCCGTCTATCGCAAGCCTCTAGCGTCTTTCCACGCTCTTTCGCGCGGCAACATTACTCACCTGTGCGGCTTATCACCTGCACTCCTGATAAGAGAAAAAATTTCACTCCTCAGGTAATCGCGTAATATGTCTTTAAGTCCGCTCTTGGAAAACAGAAACGGCTGCTTTTGGGTGCTTTTCAATAACCATTTACAGCAGGGTAGGGAGTCAATCAGAATTTATTCTTCTTGCTCTGTCGCCAGTAAGTGTATGCTTTTGTGTTCCTTTGTTCTATGTGTTGTTAGTTTTGACTAACAAGCAAATTCATGTTGGTCGCTGTTTTCCGTAATGTGTTCCACTCAGTGTCTGTAGAGCCATCAGCTTTATCCGCTCCGTATCTGTGACATGCGGAGGGCGGGGCTGCGACTTCATGTGAACATGGCGGCGGCTGCGCTTTTGGAGGGATATCGCAGTTCTGAACAATTGCAATAATGCCTTTGTACAGCATTGAACAGGATGGCAGCTGTACCAAATGGAAACAGTCCCAAAAAGGGGACCAACGCCATATTAGGCAGCCACGCCCTGTGACATCTTTGGGATACGCAGTGTATACACTGTCCGGCTAAATTCCTCACCAGATAGAGTGGTGCAGTATAGCTTGTTAGAGATCCTTCTAACTCTTTCTGCCTGTTCACTAGATTAGTTAAGGAAAACAGGAAGGATACAGTACCTCACATAATTGCATGAAATCAAGTGTGTCGACTCCGTGAACGCACACATGCCATAAGCCGGTTTCGTTGGATAAGATAGGCACTTTTAGTAGAAAGCTCCTGGCTGAGGCCAGGAAAGGAAGACAACGCTGATTCCGCTCTGCACCTAAATCCAGGTTTTGCCTGTGAAAAATGAGTGGTGTTGTGTGCACTCGGCGCACCTAGTCCCTCATTTTTAAGCGTACATTAGGACACTGTATCCCGCCTTTTTCCTAAACTTACAAATAAGCTGCAAGGTACACGATGACTGAAATTACGCTTTTGCATTGGTGCGCACTGCCTTCCTGTCCATCCTAAGTTCCACTCATGAAAAATAGGCTCTCGATGAAACATTCGCCAAGCAGAAAGAGCAGCGACCAATTTGGCCGAATGCTGGTTCAGCACTACACGAAGAGGAATGCATCGTAATATCGAGGATTTGTCGAAGACTTCCTATAGAAAGAAAACGGAAAATGGGCCAGCTTAGTGAAAGCTTTAGAAGGGACAATGGGCTCGACAGTAATGATGTGATCGATTCGAGGCCAAAGTGTGCGCTGTAAGGCAGCGTTCAGACTTCGCGACGGCAGCGCTTCGGTCGCGCGTTCGACGCGATCGATGCGCATGCTTTCGACTGCATCGATCGCGTCGAGCGCGTGACCGAAGCGCTGTCGTCGCAAAGTCTGAACGCTGCCTAACGTGCTACAGTTTCTTAAAAGCTATGAACGCGAACCCGTTAGCTGACGGGGATCGATTGGCGCTGGTCGCTTGTGTAGTTGAAGAGAATGGTGGGGCAGGACAGTGCGCATTGCCTAATCATGGAGCCTGGTACCGATCGTCAGTGGCCGCAATGGCTTTGCGAGAGTGTAGAAAAATGGGAGAGTGCTAAATTGTGTGAAGGTGGCGCCTGCCCTCCGGTTATCCTAGCCCTCTCGAAGCAGAAGGGGCCTGATCGACTTCCATCTGCGGCTGCGCTCGCGTTTATAAGACTTGGAACGCTGTTAGCACTGTAGCGCGTCCACGCGCCTCACAGCGCGTCGTCGTTCGTCATCGCCGAGTTTGAACGCCGCCTAAGCTAGGAATACTGCCAGGTTTGTGCGCGATATTATGTCTCGGACCTCCTGAACTATACCTGTGAAAGTAGTGTAATGTTTTAATTGCTTGTTAATTGTGTTATGGCTCTGTGTTGCTTAAGTGTGTGTAGTCTTTATGTTACGTTAAAGGATGTCGACTGTCTTGACAATGCCATACCTCGATCTCTGATGTCGTTTGTGCGCACGCTGATTGCCTCCATCGAAATTGTCGCGGTGATAATCTGGTCGACACCGATTTCAGCAGCTGCTCTTGGACCTCTGTTTGCCATTTATTTTCTGTTTTTGGTGTGTCTTACAAAGTTTTATGCTGTTATTGCTTGTCGTTTTGGTGGCGTGCTTTGCTTCTTCCCCTGTCCCCCAGTGAAAACCCTGTTAACCAAGCAAAACCTCAGCAACGTTGGAGAGCGCTTTGCTATTTGCGCATAAATAGTTGATAACGTCGCAATCAGTCGGGGCGGTCTCAGCGAAAATGGGCCCACCGCGGCATTTCCGCCACTGGTTGTTTTCCTTCTTAATACGATCACCACTGGTAGAGCAGGACATAGGAGGCGGCCCGATTCAGCCCCTCTTGGCACCGCCCCGACTGATCGCAATGTCATCGGCTGTTTTCGCTGTGGAACCTGGTCGCATTTGATGACGAAACCTTACTGCAAGGGATAAACTAATTCCAACCCTTTTAGTGTAGTTATAAGCAAGTTCCCCACAACCTCTGTACGATGAGCTATCCATGGGGGCCCTTAATGGCTGGACCCTCAGAGAAATGACTCGACATCAACGTACTTCGTTGAACGTGCATTCCGCGCCGGTCATGTGGGCGG